TATATAACAACTATAATTACTTATATTTACAATCACATTCTGAAAACAATACCTCACCTCGTCTCGGGGACGCAGGCAGAATAGGCCAACAGCTAATAAAATATCTGATTCTCAGTGAACCTAAATAAACAAAATATTGCCTAAGTATACTGCTAGTATATGCAGATATACATCATAAATGGCATTAGCATACACATAAATAGTTATTTACACTAATACAAGTAGAACAGGCATCCCTTTGTCCACTGTTTATCGTGTTTTGAAAAATATTGCAAATGGATATGGCATTGAGCACCAGGGAGGCGCAGGTACGCCCAGAAAATTGACTGTCGGTGACAGGAGGCGGCTTGGTATTCTTGTTTCTAAAAACAAACGAAGAAGTTTAGAAAACTTAAGGCTGGATATGATTGATAGAAGGAACTGTGGCTGTCTGTAAGGAGACAATTAGAACTGAGCTGCATGCAATGGGTTGGCAGGAAAGTCGAGGAATTCCATCACCGATCATGAAACCTGAACAAAAGGAGCGAAGGTTTAACTGGTGCTTACAGCATAGAAATTTTAACTGGGACAATGTGATTTTCTCAGATGAAAGTTCTGTGTGGCTGTTTCCTAATACACTGAAATTCTGGACCAAACAAACTGATAAACCTTTGTATCAGGTCCAAAGTACAGTCCGAAATTTAACGTGTGGGGTGGCATATCTGTGTTAGGGGCAACGCCCCTCTGTGTATTTGAAGGGAATATGAACAGTGAGCGGTACACAGATATTCTCGAGGGACATTTACTTCCATCTGCTCATGTGTTCTATGGACTCTCTTTGCACGCTCCCTCGTAACAAACAGTGAACTGTGTCAAAAGTTTAATGATAATTTGTTAAACAACTTTTTTACTTTTAAGAACATAAATTCTGCAACAAAAATCACAGAGCTGGTCTGATGTTATGATTATGATCAGTGTTTCATTGAATATTATATGTTTAATAGTTTTCGAGTTAGATTGCAATTCATCGGTCCGATTTTGAGCCAAACGGACTACAGTGTGATATGGATTGCAGTTGGATCACAATGCATTTCGTCTGGCAGCGTGACACAATTTATAAGAAAGGACACCAAACGCAGAAGAACGTGTCGATCTTAATAGAATCGTAATAGATCATAATAGATCGTAATAGATCTTGGTAGAATCGTGGGACAATGGGAACTAACATCTCGTACTCGTTATTACGATCATCCAGACACGCTCCATTGCGCTTTTCCACGCTCTTATACGATTTGTTCCGATGCCCATACTCTACTACGCATTACCGCGTTCTGAAGCGATAGCTAAAACTATCGGCATGATCGTAGCAAGATATTAACATGTTTAATATTTTGCCACGATTATCAAGATGTTTCACGATCATGGATATCGCTTGCGATCGCCATGATTTGGATCTACGATCTCTCACGCTTTATGAGATGAGTTACAACTTTCAAAAAAAATTGGAATCGTGGCCTAATCGTGGCCTATTTTTTTGTGGTATGCAAATCAGATATCCACCTATCCATGTGAACAGAAAGTAAATATACGTTTACTCATGTGAGTTAATTTACTCCATAAGTAAATATACGTACAGGAGTAAATGTGTGCATGTAAAGAGGCTTGGACGTTCCAGCGTTCGTTAAGGAAATACAGACCGCATCACCCTTATGTAATGATCAGGTCATGGATGGTCGGGGCAGGGGGTAAATGTTTTTTACCGGGATTTCGGAGAATATGTCATGAAGTCCAAAGACTAGGGGGGAATGCTCAGGGAATCTTTTATCGGGGGAGAAGGTGGGGTGCGGACGCACGCACGCGCGCTCACAAACACACACACACATACACACACACACACACACACAGTGCCCAGTGTCGATAATCTACTGAAACAGACACCATAGTACATAAAATGACACAACAGTGATGACAATTACGTGATTTACATGAGTTACTTATGACCCAGTGACTCCACTAACGACAGACGCAATGTACTGGCTATCCTTAACTACAACGTGTGTGGCAAGAGAAATCACAACCACCTTCCGCTCGAATGCTGGACTTCAAGGACATTTACTGGAGTATGTTAATCGATTTATCTTGTAAAGTTTCATTAAGTTACCTCCAAAAGATTCAGTTACATAGCAAATCAGTAATTAGCTAGGGTTAATCCATTCTATCAGGCAGGGGAGTATGGTGTGTTTTCTTTGTTAATTACCTACTCCACTGTCTCATAACTGGGAGTCTCACAATTGGGAGTTCTCACAAATGGGAGTAGACCAATTCAGATGCCTGGGAATAAATCACATAAGTGACACTGAAACCAAATCGCTACAGTTTTCATTTCAAAATTTTCATAATTATTGATTACCACGTGCAATTCAAAACAACAGTATCGGTTATCTTCTGAAACAGACACCATAGTGCATAAAAAGACTCAATAGTGATGACAATTACGTTCATGGATCACTTTACATCAGTAATGACACCGGGTGTTCTCTAAAACGGCAAGCACCTGCTACAGACCGTGCCTCATCCTTTTTGTTTACCGTTCAGCATGACCAAGTCAGGATCTGCAATCACTGACAGTACATGGTGGGGATGAATGTGTAACTGCCAGTTGTGGGCCTTATATACATACATATATGTACGCTGAAAAAAGAAAGATACTGGGTTTTTGCAAGTTATATATGGCAATACAAATACTAATATAGGATTCACTGCCATTACCAACAGGGAATGGATACGGTGTTTTCAAGTAACCAGTAATTAAGTGCAAATTATTAATGCATCAGTGTCCTCTTTATGAGGATCTGTACAACAAAATGCCTTCTCTTGTTCCGCCTCTTGGTTTGAGAATTAAAACCATTCATTTCTGCTGCCGGCATTGAACTGGAAAATATATCTCCTTCCCGCCTTCTTTCTTCTCCTCCTTGGCAACTGGTGAGGCCTGAAGTTGACCTAACTCTGACAAAGTTTAAGAAATCTGTAACTAATGAATTACAATTTAAACAAGAATATAATCAATTAAAAAATAAATATAATACATACAAATCCTTATTTACATATGGGTCTAAGGATGGTGGCGCGGTGGCATGTGCCACTATAATTGGATCCCGAACAATATCTTCTCGACTACCAAATAATAACAGCTCTATTTTCACAGCAGAAGCTAACGCCATATTAACAGCTGTTCAATATATTAATGAACACCGTAAATATAAAAAATACATAATATTTTCCGATTCTCTTTCAAGTAACCAGTAATTAAGTGCACATTATTAATGCATCAGTGATCTTTAAGAGTTTAATGTAGATATACATGCCAACACTCACGCATTTGGTTTGAGATTCACGCTTGTATTACTCATGTCACGCTTTCGCAACAAAACTGATAAATCTACCAAGCTTGGTTCATGTACATGCATGTAAGAGTGTAGCTGTTCTATCTCACTAAACATTGAGGCGGTGGGGTAGCCTAGTGGTTAAAGCGTTGGCTCGTCACGCCGGAGACCCGGGTTCGATTCCCCACATGGGTACAATGTGTGAAGCCCATTTCTGGTGTTCCCCGCCGTGATATTGCTGGAATATTGTTAAAAGCGGCGTAAACCATACCCATTCACTCACTCATTAAACATTGGAACAGAATACAGTTTAAAAGTCCAATCCATAAGAAGGGTGTAATTATAACTTCGCAAAGAAATTTCCCCTCTCACCCGATCACACGTGTACGTTTGATATTGAGTGACGGGAGGAGGGAGGAAGAAAGAGTTTGAGGGAGGGACTACGTGATTCTTATAAACTGATTGTATTTTTGGGTAGATATGAAAAGAGTGCGTGAGTTTAGTTTTACGCCGCTTTTAGCAATCTTCCAGCAATATCACGGCGGGGGACACCAGAAATGGGGAATCGACCCCGGGCCTTCGGCATGACGAGCGAACGCTTTAACCACTAGGCTACCCCACGGCCCCAGATATGAAAAGTGACGTCTGGTCAGTGCTTTATGACCATAAAAAACAGTGAAAAGAAAGGAACTTTCTTATTTTTCACCTCATTCTAAGTAAACTTAGGCTCAGTATTATTCGTTACACTGCTCAGTATAACAGTGTAACGAATAACACTGAGCCTATACTTAGACTGTTTACATTACCCAAAACATTTGTTCTGTTTCATTTTTACGAAACAAATAACTCTCAGTTACTAGTATCTCCACTTCAACCATACGAAGGCTACAGTACATACAAATGCTATTTCGTTTCCTGTAATCCGCAATTTACATTATATTCAGGGCGCCATTTTCAAGATGTCCTCCTCCCGAGAGAAGACGGGTAATGAAAGCGGATAACGGCATTAGAAACCTATTTATGTGCTCAGTACCTGCATGGCATTCGCTGATACGTGTAAGTTAGTTAAAGGCAAGGGTGATAATACAAAAATAAACAGGTTTCCAGTACCAGTGATTAAGACGTGAATTATGACTGTACAAAGCTATGACTGAGTACGACTGCTGCCATGTTTTACGACGAAAGCTGGACAGGATGAAAAGTTATGTTCCAAGCAGAAGTCTGTTTTGCCACTTTGTGTAGCGAGTAATTCCTATATTCCCAGTACATTAATTAAGTACGTGACATTTTGAATTTTGTCATAACATTGTGACAAGGTCATGCAGATCGTGTGACAAGATCATGCAGATGCTGATCCCTGTAAAATATCATGTAGATATATCTAGGCAAGAGCACACGTTTGTAAGGAAAATTGTTGCCTTGGTTACTGCCAAACATGTCCATTCAGTATCACAAGATCACAGGAGTCCCATTTTAAGTTATTAGGGACATAATTTTCTGAATTATTTATGATTATACACTTCGCCACTATCCGTATTTTATCACAGACACATGATATGTTGCTAGTTTCCTTTATCTGTTACCATTCTTACAATTGACATGTACACAGGGGACTCAAAAATCATGTTTCAGAAACGGTTGATATAGTGATGACCTACACAGCCTGACGATGGACCCAGCAGTAGCTTGCAGGTGTCCATCAGTGGATGTCACATGTGTGGTCAGGAGAAGGAGAAAACGAGTGGATGTTTCCCAGCTCGGGATGGGTGAGCTAAACCATGACAACAACTGCTTTCATTCCTCCGTCAATGTTGTATTTAACATGTTACTTGGCAGATGAAACAATAAACTTTAAACCTTTGGAACTGAAGCACCAATGTACACACAGTTCTCACAGTTTTCAACCTCAGAATTTTGTGTCCCTTTTTTTCAAGATGATTCCAGACATGAGCCTGCTGCCTTTGACCCTTTGAGTTGGTAGTGAATTATTTTAATCTGAACTGAACCAATAGCCTTATGATCTTGAAATAGCACACACAACCTATGAAGACATGAGAGGTATCATATAAATTGTGTGTTGGGGGGTGTCTGATTGTACGTTTTCTCTCTGGGTTATTATATGATCTCTGGTTTGAGAAAGGAATTATAAATTTGCCATGTTCACCAGATCCTCAAAATTTCACAACATCAAAATATCCATTTCTTACTACTGGCAAACAAGGAAAAGTTGAGCACCAACCTGACAATTGACTCGTATTAGCACGTATGAGTCAGGGCTCCCACAGGTCAGGGAAATTTGGCTTTTCTCTGAAAGTCAGGGAAAAGTAAGGGAATTTTGATATGTTTTCAAAAGTCGGAATAATCAGGGAATTTCGGGTTTAAGTCAGGGATATTTAGGGTTTTGGTCAGGGAAAAATAAGACTCAGAATGTGGCTAATCAGGTATGGCAGTAGTCAAAGTCAAAGATGCTTATTGTACTTAAGGGCTCCGGTCCATATACAGGCAATACAAGTATTCATACAGCACATGTTACAGACATTTCATGAAATAAATTACAGTTCAGATAAGAGATTGCTTCTAAGCATATCAGCATGTTTTACATAAAGCCCTAGATTACATATTACATTTTCATTTTTGGAGGATAGAATGGAAACGAAGTAACGTGAAGGATATTTTTACAGATAATTATTTAACATGTATTGTTTTCTTAAATCAGCATAATGTGAATTTCATCTTCTACAGCTGGGTTACATAACAGACATATTCTTCTATGAAGCACAATCGTTGGATTTGTGAATCAAACAATATGAAACATATTTTCCGGGTTAACATTCCAAAATTCTGGAAAACTGACATAAATTTAATAAGAGCCTTCTTAGCATGTGATTTCAGATTTATAACACCCTTTTTATCCCCCCGGCATGTAATGCGGGGGATATAGATGACGCCTTGTCCGTCTGTCCATCCATCCGTCCATAATCATGTTGTTTCCGGAGCATAACTCGAAAACGGTTCAATATTTTTCAACAAAACTTTGCAGATATATCAAACAGAACCTAAAGTGGTGCCTTTTGCTATTTACAGATTTTTGTCATTTTTATTTTTCCTGGTTGCCATGGAAACGTTTTGGACTGAGTCTCAAACATTTTTCTTTATAGGCAACAGATCCACCTCTTCTAAGGGGCTGTGGGGTAGACTAATGGTTAAAGCGTTGGCTCGTCACGGCGAAGAACCGGGTTCGAATCCCCACATGGGTACAATGTGTGAAGCCCATTTCTTGTGTCCCCCGCCGTGATGTTGCTGGAATATTGCTAAAAGCGGCGTAAAACCAAACTCAGTCAGTCAGGCAGTCCACCTCTTCTAAAGATAACTATGTTAACAGATAATTTGTATTCATTTGTATACCGTTCCAAAATATTATAAATAGTATGATGGCTATGGTGGTTCTTGCAAATTGTGAAAGCCCATTTTGGCCAAAAATACCCATATAAGTTTCATTGTTAAAGTACAGCATAGGTTTATAATATGGCCTATGTTCTGACATTTGCTGTTTATTCACAAAATTGAAAGTGGTTGAATGGTGTTCATAATCTAGTTGTCATTGTTGTACTGAATGTAAAGTTACATCTTGCATGTATATTCTTTCCAAATACGCTTTTGATAATTACAACATTTTGTGATAATGAAGAAATGTGTTCCTGACTTTGAATGAAACAATTCAATTAAATCATTAGTTTCACATGTATGCTCTTTGTCAAAAGCCTTTAATATAAAATACAAATTTTTCAGATGATATTACTGACTTCACCTTAGAATATATATTTGATGGTCACGCTCAAATGTATCTAATAGTATTATGTAACATTGTGGCAGGAGAGTCAAGGAAAAATTTCTTCATCACAAATATCAATGTTTTGGTTAGTGTAATAAATTAACAAATATTGTGTGTATTTATGATATGTGTGAAGGAAATATCTAAACAGGGTGGTTAGGACTGACTGAAAGGGAGGAAGGTGGCCAGTTTTTACTCTTAAATGGTCAGGGAATAATCTATACTTGTCAGGAAAAGTCAGGGAATTTTGGCCTGCCATGCCTGTGGGAACCCTGATGAGTGCCGCACACTGGCGCTTGCCATTGTTAGCGTAGGGGCCCCAGGTTGTCCGAGATCAAGTATAGTGCGACTTGCTACACTGACGTGAGAGTCTTATGAGCAAGGCCTGTGCAGCTATGCGCGGAATCAATTTCATCATCATGCACTGCTCGTTCACTAGCCTACATCTGCTCTACCTTTCACAAACCAAATGGGTTTGCTCATTGCCCTGCACCGCCTACTTGTTGTAAATGCATTCTCTACGCCAGTCCAACTTATCCTTGTTTGCCAGTAGTATCCTACATTTTTCAATTTTTTTGAACCAGATGCAGTTGGTATTGTGTCCATTATAAATGCAGCTGTTTTCATTATCGGGGTCATTGGAATCGATCAAGAAATATACCTGATCTAATAGGTCTAAATTTATCTTAAAATAATTGTGGTATACACTAATTAACGATAATTGGCTGTGTGGAGATGTAGGTGGAGGGAACTTGAGCTGGTTTGAGGATCTCACACATCAGGCACAGCAGAAGCTGCAGCACATGCCCGACGCTGCCACCCCCGAGACAGGATGACCTTCACCTTGCTGGTTTTGACTCACCATGCTTCTTGCCACAGCCAGTAGAGCTGATGCAAGGTAAGCGAGTGAAGGTGAACATCTTAATGCCTTTCATGACTGAAGGGATATCAAAGTAAGTGTCTTTCAGAAAGTGGGAAATTGAACTTGTGTTACATTTGGGATTACACTGTCACAGTAAACTTGGTCTGACTGAAGCTAATTGAGTTGAAGTATGCTTGTGACATATATATAAAGATACATACAAGAGTGAGTGATTCTTTTTCAGAAGTCCTCCTTGGGGTACATATAAGCATTTAAATGTCCATTTTAAATCCTACGACAGTTGTAATTATATTTTTTAATAAAATATTTACAAAACAAAAAACTCGTTTTTGTCTTGTGAGACCACCCCTACAGGGCCCCACCGGACCCCCTACAGCCAAGAGCAGGTAACTCTCGCCGTCTACCTCGTACCTCACTTTTCATGCTGTCGTTCTGTTGAATAAACGTGCGTGATGTTCGTTTCGAGTTTGCTCTCCTACCGATACGATGAGTGTAAAAGAGTCTCAGTCTGTATGCATGGTTCCTTTCTCTACGCACGGGCGTTAGATGGACGTCATATGTTGATATTCTCATTCATCTTTTGTTGTAACTTTGCCGTGGGTTCTCTGTTTTCCAGCCATGTGGCAGGCAAAATGGCGGACCGCGCGATCGTGGTTTCCTTGCTATATGTTCTTGGTAGCTTGTAGTAGGGAGTTCATATATTATGTTTGCATATTATATGGTAGGCTTGCCTAAATTCTCTTTCTTTTCAGCGGATTTGTGGTAAGTCGTTGTTGAGTAATTTTGATAGTGTTCGTTTCGTATCACTCAACTTTACTCTATCACTAGTATGTACACGCAGGTGTGGCTAGCCTTTTTCTGCTTTGCATTGTATGTTTAGTATTTAAATGGCTGTAGCTTGGAGCATTTAAATATCGCCGTGCGTGTTATTCTTGCTATTTACTTGTGTTTATGTGTTTGCTGCTTCACAGTTCCTGCTAGTAACACTGGCATGGTTCTGTTTGTTGCAGTTTAAGCCCTGTGCGTTGTGCCGTGCACACTACCGCCCCCAGGATTGTCATAAAGTGTGCCTCCGGTGTTTAGCCGAGGACGCTCACGACGATCAAGGATGCTCATAATAAACGCCCTTGCGTCAATATTCCTGTTACATTATGTTGTGTTATGTTACATATATACATATTTCATACGTTTACACACAACGTGGCTCATAGGCCGAGGTTGTGTTTTTTGTCTGGGTTTCTGCGCCTCACGCGCATTCTTTCAGACACGCAGATTTTATGTTTTTCAGTAATCTGCTTCAGGCGGGGAATAATATTTGATGAAAGGTTTCTAAGGAAATCCCTTTATCGTTGCCCCGCAAACAATGTTGCTGCCTTAAATATTGACTCAATTGCTTCACTATTTCAGCAACATATGCTTCGGCAGATGACTAATGTGAAGTCGATGATTGATAGCGCGATGTCCGGGCTCCATCAGGAGCTTGGCTCACAACGTGTTGATCTCGATGGTAAGTGAACCAGGTGTCGTCTGTGAAATCCCTGATTGACACGGCGCTGTCTGGGTTCCGCAAAGAGCTCAGCACGCCTGTCGTCGGGGGTTGCCGATCACCTCGATGCTCCTAGGTCTACCCGTGTACACCAGGGGAACCCTGCATTGCCAGGCTACTCCCTTGTGTCTTGGGACTGCAGATCGGACTAGCACCGACCTGGGCTTCGGCCCCGGTACGGAGCAGATCCCCGGCGCTGTTAGCTCAGGTCTCGGCCTGATGTCTATCGATGCCCTGGCCAAGAGGCCGTTGAGTGTGACAGAGCTACCGATCACCTCGACGCGCCGAGGTCTACCCGTGTACACCAGGGGAGACCTGCATTGTCAGGCTACTCCCATGTGTTTCGGGATCGGGGTTCGAACTCGAACCGCCGACCCGAGCACTTACGTATATATATATATGTATATATTTATATATATACACATATATGTGTATGTATGGGTATTTTTATATCGTTATAGGCTATGTTTGACTATATGCTCAGTGCGCTTTTGGAGAGTACTTTGGGAAACCTGATTTATCAGGCTACTCCTACGTGTCTCGGGATCGGGGTTCGGTCTAGAACCGCTGAGCTTCGGCTCCGCGGATACTCTGAACCCCGTGGGTAGCACCGACCCAGGCTTCGGCACTGGTAGGGCGCAGATTCCCGGCGCCGGTAGATCAGGTCTCGGCCTGATGTCTATCGACGTCTTGACCCAGATGCTATCGAGTGTGCCGGGTGTGTCGGTCACCTCGACGCTCCGAGGTCTGTCTGTGAAACCTTGATTTGTCAGGCTTCTCACATGTGCCTCCGAACCAGGGTTCAGGCTCGTACAGTGGACAAGTCGATTTGAGCTTCGGCTCATTTCGCTACTTTGAACTAACCACTGAGTAGGTTCGTCCCTGAGGCAAGTGCGAGATATAATCGCGGCTGTGTTGCCTCAGGTGTTGTTCACGTCGAATACCCGAACCGTTGGAGTTCGCCTCCCGGAGGGAAGCCTGCTTCCAGCATGGCATCCAGGACAAGGCCTCACACTCTACCGTCAGTCTGCCGTTCTTTCCCCTTCACAGCTCAACGCTGTATGCTCCACTCGGCGCATCTCTCAGCTCTGCTGAGGGAGCTGGTGGAAAGGGGAGAGAGCGCCGGTGTTTTTTTTTTCGTCGGCGACTCTGGGCTGCATCTGACGGAGGTCAACTCTCATCTGGCTAGGGACTGCATTGTAGCTGTGCCAGCCACATGATGAGTGCGGTTATGGGCCTATGACGCCAGTGTCGGCTTCCCGGGAGACGGCGAAAATACTCCGTGCCGAGATCCAGTCTCTGCTGGGCAAGGCAACCAGCGTGGTGGTTTCCAATGGTCAGGAAAATGTGGGGTTTGACTCCATTTATTTCATCGTTGCCATTAAGAATGGAATGTTCAAACCCATTCTCATCTGAGAGCTGAACAAGTTAATAGAGGTACTGTCCTTCAAGATGGAGACACCGCGCTCGGTGATCTCATCTGTCGACAGGGGATTGGTGCACGTCAATCGACCTCGAAGTCGCGTACCTCCTTGTTCCATTGCACCCTGATTTTAAGATTTACCTTCGGTTCTTGTTTGACGGGAGGCGCTACCAGTTTCGTGTGCTCCCCTTAGGCTACATTACGGCGCCAAGGGTGTTCACCAAATTGAGGTTTATTACAGCTCAGATAGCCAGATCGCAGTGCCGGTGTTGTCACCCGTACCTAGGCGACTGGCTCATCGTGGTTTTAGAATAACTATTGAGTCTGGGGACCTCACGATCAGTGTTGATCAATCTTACGAAACTGGGCGGAATTGTCAACCTCACGCAGTCAGATGGACAGACGTCAGGCGTCTCTCCGAGGCCCCTGGAGACACCGTCACTCTCAGTCCAGCCAGATACATCCCTACCGAGTTAGGGCGATGTTCTGGGCGACCTGCAGTCTCTTGACGACAAAGTCACAACCTGCACGACACCCGAATCCTCGGATTCACTGGGTGGCTTGGCCTCTGTCGGGTATAATGCCCAGACACGCGGAATTCCTGCAACCGTTGCAGACACAATTCTAGCTTCAAGGCGGGATTCGACACCCGTTCAGTGTGTTGATAGGTGGGGCGCGCTCGTGTGCAGATAGGGGGATTTCATAATCCCTATTCTGCGGATTTAGCTCGGATATTGGAGTTACTATAACTTCGTTTTGGTTGAGAGCCTTATGACCTCCACCATTCCCGGGTACTCCATGGCTATTTCCACGTTTCACACCTCGTTCTATGGTGCTCTGCCTAGGCAGCATCTTCTCGTACATCGCGTCGTAGCTGGCATGAACAGGGTTCGACCGCCTTGGCGGCGACCCAGCCCACCTTAAAATTGCCACTTATTCTCAATTGGCTGTCTGGCCCTGATTTTTCAAGAATATCGTCTCTCTCACTTCACTTGTTGACGTGGAAGGCGACTTTACTTGTTGTGGTGAGCTCTGGTAGAAGGGTCGGGTGCATCCTTCGCGATTCCCACTGACCCGACACTGACAGTATTTTATACTGATCATGTCGTATTAAGCCTCGGATACCTACCACTGTCAGTCGCGATATTGCTTTCCGCGTGACTGCTCATATCGCACTTCCACCCTTACCCAGCCTTCAAACCGGGGACCAATCTTTCGATCGGCTCACCCCGTGACTGTAGCGAACGAGCGGACAAAAGGGATCGTCGGGTACCCATGTGTTCTGTTTGGTGGCGGGAAGACTGGGGAGTCTGCTAGCAAGCGAACTTTATCTCGTTGGCTTGTTTCCGTAATTGTTTGGTTACAATGATAAGGTTTACCTCCCGAGGGTTGAAGGCAGACTGGGTAGGGCAGATGCGCTTTGTTGGCAATACACAGCGGCACTGCTCAATGAAAGATCGGTTTTGTCGGCTCTTCACGAGCGGCAGAACACCTTCATTCGCCATTACCAACTTGACACGCATTCTAAGGATCATGCTCGGTTCGGTCTTTGGTTCTCTCCAGTGGAGAATGTCCTGCCACCCTGACCAAGTTAGTAACTGGTCATTGGTATCGGTTCTGTGTTCAATGTCGATATATTTCATATCACTACATCATTATTAGCCTTACCATCATTTCGGGTTGGGTGGGTTTGGGTGTACATATCGTCCCTTCGTCCTGTTCAAGAGGCGGGTCCGTTTTGAGCAGCTTTAACCAGTCATATATCGCGATTAACCCGTCTTGCGGCGGAATTGAGTACGAACCCCACGGGGCACTGTTGGTATGCCTCTCTTTGAGCCGCATGTCGCGTGACCAGGTTAGTGTAATGGTGAGCCAACACATGTTCGACTCGCTTTTAAGCTATTCAGGGGATTTTGAGTGCGGCTTACAGTTTTTCCCTCTTCCGAGACCCGGTATTTGGGAGTCTGTGTTAATCAGCTTTGTGGGATGGTGGTCTACACTTACTCTCCTCGCCCGAGAGTGTTTGGTGGGGTGTTCTATCCTGTTTTTCACTCGTACAATGCATGGCGTTTGTACTCGTTCGATTTCCTCAGAAAGTTTTTAGCGAGGCTAATAATTTCTCTGGGTTTTATCGAGGTCCCGGCAAGCCCTCTTCCAAACAAGAAGGGTGCATTCGAGCATTAGTTTGCAGTACTTATTAGCTTGACTCCTGGGTTATTGGCTTTTTAGCGTTTAAATTTTTTACGCTTTCCCTACCCTTATACCTCTCGCCACGCTTCTCTGGCTGGGGCTATCTTAGGGTTGGGAGTTGTTTCGGCATGTCCCTATACATTCCTTTCCATTGTAATGGTTGGGGGTGGGGTTTTATGTCATAATTGATATTGAGTCAATTGACATATAAGCTTGGGCTCTCTAGTTCACGCCCCCGTCTGATTGACATCAGCGGTCAGGTGGCTCGGTAAGTGTTTTTTCTATTTCTGTATCGGTTGTAGATTTCACTCCACCACAGGTTTAGTTGTTGCCAGACAGAATGCCACTCCCGTCTCAAATATCTTTGGGAGTCTGTCATATGCTTATATGTACCCCAAGGAGGACTTCTTCTGAAAAAGAATTATACAAACCTGTAGAGGTTATGAATTCTTTGAAGAAAGTCCTCCTTGGGGTACGGCCACCCGCCTCCCCTCATTCTGTCTGACACGTTCAGCATGAAAAGTGAGGTACGAGGTAAATTGCGAGAGTTACCTGCTCTTGGCTGTAGGGGGTCCAGTGGGGCCCTGTAGGGGTGGTCTCACAAGACAAAAACGAGTTTTTTGTTTTGTAAATATTTTATTAAAAAATATAGTTACAACTGTCGTAGGTTTTAAAATTGACATTTAAATGCTTATATGTACCCCAAGGAGGACTTTCTTCAAAGAATTCATAACCTCTACAGGTTTGTATAAGTTTAGTTTTACGCCGCATTCAACAATATTCCAGCTATATGGCGGCGGTCTGTAAATAATCGAGTCTGGAGCAGACAATCCAGTGATCAACAGCAAGAGCATCGATCTGCGCAAGGGGGAACCAATGACGTGTCAACCAAGTCAGCGAGTCTGACCACCCGATCCCTTTTTCTTACGACAAGCATGGGTTACTGAAGATCAATATTCTAACCCGGACCTTCACGGGACGTTCAAGAAATTCAGCATCATGTCCCAACTCTGTAGATCGTTATGATGTGTGAGCTGACCAATCAGCATCATGTCCCAACACTGTAGATCGTTGTGATGTGTGAGCTGACCAATCAGCATCATGTCCCAACTCTGTAGATTGTTGTGATGTGTGAGCTGACCAATCAGCATCATGTCCCAACTCTGTAGATCGTTGTGATGTGTGAGCTGACCAATCAGTATCATGTCCCAACTCTGTAGATCGTTGTGATGTGTGAGCTGACCAATCAGTATCATGTGACAACTCTGTAGATCATTGTGATGTGTGAGCTGACCAATCAGCATCATGTCCCAACTCTGTAGATCGTTGTGACAATGTGATGTGTGAGCTGACCAATGAGCATCATGAGCCAACTCTTTAGATCCTAGTGACAATGTGATGTGTGAGCTGACCAGTCAGCATCATGAGCCAACTCTTTAGATCGTTGTGATATGCGAGCTGACCAATCAGCATCATGAGCCAACTCTGTCGATTGTTGTGATGTGTGAGCTGACCAATCAGCATCATGTCCCAGCTCTGTAGATCGTTGTGATGTGTGAGCTGACCAATCAGCATCATGTCCCAACATGTATATGTTGTTCATGGTATCTATTATTGGTGTCCCAAGACTTGATTAGTTACATGTAGGCCACCATTCACTCTGTTCCCTTTGCTGCGTAGCTACTACACCAGGAACAGGCAGCCTGACACCCCTCAGTGCATGGGCTCTTCTAAGTTCCCAGGATCCCAGCACAAGTACACCAACATCAGTGGATCATCCCAATATAGGAAACAGGTAAGACCTATACAATTGAAACTCTTTTCTTTTAAACCAGAAGGAACCATGGCTTGCAAATTAAAGATGTTTATATATAAAACTTATGTAAGCCCTGTTAGCACAGGGGTGGTGGGGTAGCCTTGACCGCTCATCAAAACGAAGGCCCGGGTTCGATTCCCCACATGGGTACAATGTGTGAAGCCCAATTCTGGTGTCCTCCGCCGTGATATTGCTGGAATATTGCTGAAAAGAGGCGTAAAACCATACTCACTCACCTGTTAGCACGGTGAGAATTCCTGGAGTGTGTGATGCTACCTTACTTTTCACAGCAACATTACAGAAGTTCCTTTTAGTGTACGTCTCACAACAAGGTGCAGCAGTTGACCTGGCAGAGACCGTTAGTCTCAGGAGGCAGTGGGGTAGAGCCTAGTGGTTAAAGCATTCGCTCATCGCACCCCACATAGGTACGATGTGTGAAGCCCATTTCTGGTGTCCCCTGCTGTGATATTGCTGGAATATTGCTATTCAATAGTCTGAGACAAGTAAAAATCTAGTTGAACATGACGTACCCATATGTTACATCAGCTACAACTTGAAAGTATAAGTCTGAGGAAAAGTTTGAAGAAAATAATGACACATGCCAAGATGAATGTGACTGTTCCTTGGTTTCCAGTCCTTGTCTAGTGTCTCCACCAGGTGTTGAGTCCTGTCTGAAGACATGTCGTGGCATCAGCGAACGACTCGGTCTTGTCGCCTCTAACGAGGACTGCAACATGTCCTGGACAAACTCCATGGCAACACCATGTCTTGGGGGCGAGCTCCACACATCACAGGAGGGTCAGTAAAACCGCTAATACTCTCTGGGCAGGACATTTTAATAACTCCCGGTGAGCGTTGTTATTTTTGGCTTTATGCTGATGGCCAGTTCATGCCTGTTGTTTTAATTATTTGTGAAGGGGTTCATAACAGAGTGTCAGGTAAATGTGTTGTTGACGATTCAGAGTGGTAAAAAATAAAACTTTTTAATTTTTTTAAGTTGAAGAGCTAAATTGGTAACAGATTGAATGTATGGCAGATGTCAATAGAATCTTGTAAATGTTTCATGAGGATAAAGTTCTTCGTTCTAATGAAATTACAAATTTTTAAACTTATCCTATCTCATGGTATGCACTTCTCTCTCTTGATTCGACACTGAGTGAAATGATGTAAATGTTTTCTCCCTAGGCCTCTCTTGTCCATCCGCCCAAGCACTCCATGCTACCCTCATTATAAGACAGCTTCCTAGTTGTCATGCACAGCATGCGGCATGCTCCACTAGCTACCCACGTGACTATCTCTGAATCATCATTCTCCTTCTTGTTGCACATGAGTGTGAACGTGTTTTGCTTTACTCAACATTTTCAACATTTGTCTACAACATGGGGAAGGCTGACCAGCCCCAAAAAAGAGGAAGAAATGTGTGCAGTGTAATAAGGTGTTCTCTGCGAGTGATCCACATGCGTTTTGTGTTGACTGTGTGGGACAGTGTAAATGGGACTCTCGTTGCGATAAATGCAAAGATCTTACCTTCAAGGCGTTTGGTGACTACACTCGGGCTTACGTTCGTCGTGTTGCTGACAGAGCTCGTTATGCAGCCTCGCTAGACGGACCCAGTCCCACCAAGAAAGGCAAGTTTAAGCGTCCTACTTTGTCTGCTCGTCGGTCACAGTCCCTTCCCTCGAATGAAGAGGATTTCACGAGAGCGTCGTCAGACTCTTATTTATCTGAAGACCTTCAGAATCTGCTTGGCTCTCCACATTCCAGCCTGAGTTGCTTCGTCTTCAACCATGTAACTGGGAGTGGTTGTCGAGCATGCTACCACCCCTCAGGATACTTCTGCACAGCGGGATCTTTGAACTACGCTCTCTTTCTCTCACTCCCTGGACCAGCTATCTAGGCAACCTGGCTTATCTGTTTCGGACAAGAATCAGCTGATCTCTACGTCTGACGTAGCCGTTTTCGCTCTCGTCGTTCGTCTAGCAGTGACAGGAATCGGTCTTCCTCGCCTAAACGCCTTTTAGTGGCTGCTTCGCCGTCTTCGTTGCGATACCTCCCCTCCTCAGCGGGTCTCCATATGTGCGTCTTCTCCCGGATCATCCCCCTCCAGACATAGATATGGTTCTACAGATAGGAGATCTACTCAACGGGGCTCCGATTATAGATCTCAGCGTGCTACGACCTCTGAGGGGGCTCCTGCCTCCTCGCATCTCTCTGCTCAGATTGTACCAGATTCTTGGACTCCTGCACAGGAAACTACTCCTCCCCCAGATCTGGTTGCGATGTTGAGTGCTATTACTACTGCTTGGAATCAGCAACAGTCTGCTCAATCGGAGGGGAACCCGGAGGACTTAACACATTCCTTCTCCATGAGACAACGGGACTTGGCGTCTATTACCTTTCCACCACGACCTTGTATTGCTCATCTAGCTACGTTCTTGTATCATGCCTTTAAAAGCCTTAAGTGGATTAAGGATGGCCTGTCTTTGCCTAGATTGTCCTTAGCAGCGCCTCACTTCCATGGGTTCCAGTCATTGTCTACTGCCTCTTCGGTGGATGAAGATGTCCAAACACTTTGCGGGAAAAGGACTTGTTCAGCTTTTTAGTTGAGGACAGAGAACTGTCTCACATGGGCACAGCTATTTGTCGCTCCTTATCCACGATCAACTGCATCATCTCGGAGGTGGACGCTGTTGCGGCATCAGTGGAGCACTTTTTCACTGACCAGGATGCTTACATGAGGGGCTGTATGTCCCTTATACTGGACCAATGTCAGATCGTACTTGACCAGCTGTCTCACTTCCTTGGTATCTCCTGGCAGTTCGACATCGCAGCCCGCTCAATTTGTCTTCATGGGATGACAGGTTTAAGGCTGAACTCTTCATCAACCGTGGTCTGCAGAGTAATTATTTAATGGCATGACTGGCGGAGTTTCGACGAAGGTGGATCGGGACACTCATTCTTTTTTATATATTCCTCCTTGGGGTACTTATAAGCATTTAAATGTCCATTTAAATTCCCTACGACAGTTGTAACAATATTTGAATAAAATATTTACAAAACAAAAGCTACGTTTTGTCTTGTGAGACCACCCTTACAGGGCCTTCCGGCCCCCTACAGCCAAGAGCAGGTAACTCTAGACCGTAACCTCGTACCTCACTTTCCATGCTGTCGTTGTACCGACAAGACGTGGGTCCATACCAGAAGGTTTTTCCTTGCGACTAAGAGAGTTATGAGTGTTTCAGAAACTGCAACTGTATGTATGGTTCTCTTTTTTCCCTGCATGGGCGAATTGGAGTTTTTTTCTGAATTTTTTCATTCATAATTTCTCGTTGTAACTCGGTACCTGTCGCGGTCGGCTCGCTAGTGCGTGGCAAGATGGCGGACAGGTCCCTTCGCTAACCTTCCTGTTCATTGGTTTCCCATGTGGTTTTCAATGTTACAGGTGGTTTTAGTGGTTTTATTTGTATCTTTGTGCGTGTAGAGTATGTCTACTGCTCGCATTTTCTATATTACGCTAAAAACCCGTAATTGTTAGTTATGCTGCAGTGTGTACTAGGTTGTCAACTGCATGCTACGTTTGTCGCATTAGTTGTGTAAGCCCATGCGTCTTTTTTACATGTATTTGTATGTGGGTATAGGGTAGATTGCTGCACAGGGTTTTTACTTGTTGCAGTTTAAACCCTGTACTGCCGTGCCTTGCTGCAATTCCCGTACAGGATTCCCACGAGGTCTGCTTACGCTGTTTAGTGCAGAAGGAACATGAGGAAGAGGGGTGTCGCGGCATGTGCCATGTTCTCATCCCCAAACCATTCGGCGTAGGGCGGATAGACAACAGCTGTTTTACAACAACCTGCTTCAGGCGGGGTGATCTCTGGGCACAGGATCCCCGTCCAAAGCGCTCCCATAGTAAAAAAAAGGGGTCCACTGGAGCCGCTTCCCACGCGGAGCCGGCTCCCAAAAAAGCTAAGGCGGCTTCGTCTTCACGCACTCATGCCCCTTCTGCATCTCCTACTGCTTCCGTCTCTGTACCCGCCACCCCCCCTCTTGATTCAGCACCTGTAAAAAGTGTTCCTGTTGATTCGTTAACCGTTTTTTCCAGGAGCAGATGTCGTCAGTCAAGTCCCTGATTGATCACGGCGTTAGCGGGGTTCCGTAAGGAGCTCAGCCGCCCGGTGCGTCGAGGGCAGGGCTGACACATCTGGGGGGGTTAGCTGCGGCCCGACTCCGGCTCGGAAGCGCGCCTCCCGGGCGGCTTGATCCTGGCTTCGCCCTGGTGAAGGCATGCCCTCGGCGTCTGGTGGCGACCTGGCTTTATGCACTGGTCTGTCACAGGTGCCTGGTGCGGGCGATACAGGGTTGCCCCTGTCATTGTCTGGTGTCCCGACTGGCGATGCGCCCAGGGCGCCGACCAGTTCGGGATACCTCGGCGCCCGGCAGCCAGTCGGGGTTGCCAGGGAAGCCTGTTGCGGCAGGTTCCTCTCGAGGCGACTTCGGTGACCTGGTGCGGGTTCCTCCCGGCAGAGGCGATGTTTTCCCTGGCTCCTCTTGACCTTATGAGTTTTCTGGTCCTGCCTCTGGCGTCTCCTCGGCGCTCTCTCAGGAGTCTGAGATTATGGCGGCCAAGGATTCTGCCGAGGTCGATATGGAGGAGGAGGAGGGGCGGTGGAATCGGGAGGCAGTGCCGTGCTCTCTTTGCCTCGTCCCTGCGGCAGGTTCGGGATAAGATCGCCGAAGTCCTGCCGCAGGTGGCTGTTCCGTCCGGCACCCGACCCAGCGGAGTTTGGCTCCGGGAGGCGTTCGCACCTAACCAGGTCGCAGAGGCGCGGCTACGCATTCTCCCATCACTGGTCAGTGAGGTGGTGAATCCGGCTCCTGGCTGGTACTTCGCTCGGCGTTTTGATTTGCCTGGAAGTAGGCGGGCGGTACCAGTTAGGTGCGGAGGCGCTCTTCGAACCACCAGTGGTGGATGAAGTCGTCTTTGCCTCAGTCCGTTAGGAGGGTCGTCTTCGTCTTCCCTGGCCTCGGCCGAGGCAGGGCAAGCGCCTCCCCTTTTCCGGCTAGTGCGTCACTGCGCTGAAGTCTGCCTACCGGTCATTGAAGAATGTTACGGTCTTGTGACCAACAACTTAAAGTAGCAGTCCATTCAGCCTACCTGTCGGCGTTGCAGGGACAGCTGGTGGCCCACAGCGCTGGCGGTGCCGATTCATCGGAGTCGGTGCTTTCGCCGGCAGTTAGCGGACGTACACTCGCATCTGGCCGGGACAGCATTCGGTGCTGTGCCAGCCAGATGATGGTGCCGTCATGGGCTTTGCGCCGCCTGTGGCTGTCTGTGGCGGTGATTCGCGCGGCCACACAGCAAGCTCTACTGTCATTGCCCTATACCATGGGATCTTCCCTGTTCCTGGGGCCTTGCAGGTGGTAAGGGGAGGCAGCGGAGGCTGTCTCTACCTTTAAGGACTCAAAGCCTTTGTTGGAGCAGCCCTCCGCTCCTGCGCCATCGGCCCTCCCGCTATGCGTCCGGCAACCTTCTGCCTCGGCACCCGAAGGATGTTGTTAAGTGGGCTGCCCTTTGCAGTCCAAGCGGAGCGAGCGCCACGAGGCAGGGGCAAGCCTGCTCCAGCGCAGCAGTCTTTTGGGGCAAGGGAAGCCAGCCCGGCTTCCCACTGATTCATTCCCCAGAGCCCTTGTTGCCCCACTCCATGGCCGGAGACTTGCCCGGCGGTGGGGTGCACTGCCTCTTTGCCACCGCGTCCTGTCGGCGGCGGCTGTCCCTATTCCTCCGGGAGTGGGAGGCAGCC